ATCAGAATGCAGCGCGCCTAAATGGAGCACGAGAACAGAACAGACCGGGCGGGCATACAAACGTAACGCCAGGTTCACACACTCCGTCTGTGGTGCGTATTTTGTCCGCGCCCATGTTAACGGATCAGAGCATTCACACTGCATGTGATTGCGCTCCGGCAGTGTGCTCCAGGAGCGGTGCGTCTGCAGCAGTCATGCTACGATCGTTTCCGCCCGGAGTCTATAGGCCCGGGTATACTTCACTTTCCGCGTTCCGTTCCGTCTCAAGCACAGCCGCGTCCGCACAGCTTTCAAAGTATACTCAACCGCGGATGAGTGCGGATGGACGAGCTCGACACAGGCGCAAGTCTATTTGTGCTGTATGCACTGAATTAAAGTGACAGCGCATTATTCGCTGTAAAAATTAACATGGATTGACACGGAAATGTAGTAATTACACCATAAATGCATATAATTAAAGTAGGGATGCACCGATACTGGTATCGGTATCGGGCCCGATACTGGTTTCCTGTACTCGTACTCGTTAAAATGCCCCGATACCAAACGCCGATACCACACAGCATGTGAATCGCGATAGTTTTTTTTGTCCATATCGCACAGCCCTAATCCATAGTGATACATGCCTACAAACAAGCACGGCAAACTTTTTTTTTTTTTTTTTTAATTGGAATCACAATATTTATCAGGAATATTGCAGTTAGATTATTTCCCCAAATCACCCCGATGTGGAGTGAAGGCAGCGGATCCGTCAGCAGCATCGTCGAATGGGGTTTTCACTCTCGTGTAAAGTGTAGATTGGGTTGAGAGGCAACAGGAAGAGACCCGCATAAAAGGGAAAAGCCCCGTTTTATGGCCACATGAAGTGTTTCCTCTACCATCTTTGACACATTTCCACCAGCACACTTACTTTCACACTGCTTTCTGCATGCGTTTCTGCCAGCTTTTCAGAGTCTGCTAATTGTTCATCCCTTCTTTGCCGACAGATGGAGAGTGAGATGAAGAGGAGGAAATACTCCACCAGCAGCAACGACTCTGACACCACCGACAGTGAGTGATAAACACAGACACACGGCTTCTCACCACTGGATAAAATCTTTTTAGATCAGGATGAAGTCTAAAAAAAGTAGTAAACAGTGAGAATATGGAGCTCATTCTCAAGGAAATATGGACAAGAAGATGAAATGAGATCTCTATAACAGTATTGCAGATACTTAACATAAAATGCATATAAATATCAGCTGTCACTATGTATCTGCCAATAATATGTCTTAGTAAGATGATATTTAATGCTTAGTTTGATGATCAAAACATATAATGCAATGCAATCAAATGATGATTGACAGATGAACAAATAAACGTTCCTCAAAACCCTGGTTATCATATTTGAGACTCACTGATTTTTCTAAAAAGTGATTCATGGAGAATCAAATAAATCTGGGTTTCTTTAGTCTAGTAAGTGTTCATCTTCAAAAATTACTAACGGAGATATTCTTACGTTTACTTGATAAAACTTGAAGCAGGTGGACTTTTGCACAGTTATATGGAAAAAGCATGAAACTATCAATCAGAAGGCATGTAGTAGATTGTGTGCAACAGGTTTATTAGCAAATTTTTTATAATTTGAGACCTTTGAGATGTGCTTATCAAATATGAGACAGTAGGCTTTATAGGGTTAATGCAACAATTAATCAACAGCTTACAATTCTGTGCAAACTGACACACAATACACACACAATACAATTTAATGAGCTTCACTGAATTATAGGTCAAAAATACCTGTTTAAATGAAATCTTAATTTTTAAACTTTGGTGTTGTGGTGTATATAGGTAGACTCTTGAGATGCTCACAGAAACCTCTCCTGACTCGTTCTGTTCAGAGACTGAGAAACAAAATAATTGCAACACCGTAAATAATGTAAGCGGCATTAACACATACAGTTTCATGTTATTTAACGACATTTAATTTTATATGCTGAGCCTGGTAATCCCAGGAGAGCACCTAGATATGTAATTGTACATTTAAATGCTGACAACTAACTAAACACTATCGTAACTGTTTAGGCGAACGTTATCGCTCGTAAACGACATCATAATGGTATTCTTGATAATCAATAACTTACCTTCATAGTCACAAACTCATTTTTAAAACGCTTATAATATTTTAATGCATTTATTATTTCTCAACTTGTGCAGCTGTGCAGTGAAATTCACTTTTGATTCATGAAGATGACATGAAAAAATGTCCCAAAAATGTGTCTCCTGGCGGAAAACAGACTTTTAAGATGAAAATGACATGAAATTCTCATTATAACCAGTAGATGGCAGCAGCGGATCACTCATTAACTCATCAACTCACTTGTTTTTTCACCTCTTGCTTTTGGATTTATTATAAACTGACTATAATTTAAATTTTTTATTTAAAAAAAAAAATAGTTTTACAATAACAAAACCGTGGTACAGGTGTCTCATGGCAGTATATACAGTCATCCGTCATATATCCATCATACAGTCATACAATGGTAGTTCAAGAGTCGAGTGAAAGGCAGTAGTACCAATCTAAACAAGAATCAAGAAATAAAGACAATCATAAACTGACTATTATAACAAATTTTTGTACTGTTACTGTACTGAAGTATAAAGTAAAGCAAGTGCAGGAAGTCACAAAGTCTCACGTCATTTAAAAAATAAATAAATAAAATAAGCCCAGACACCAACAGCCTAGATAGGGTTAATTATTTAAATACGTAACTAGTTAACTACAGATTAAATAAAGTAATTATCAATGGCATAACAATTAAATAATAATGCATGAATTATTTTGAAACATTAAGATTTAATAAAAAAAAAGTTTTATCTATACCTGTAGAAGCTGCTAAATATATTCAGCCAACAGACTTGTTGCTGCTGTAGTTTTGTTAATTTATTTTGCATCACTTAATGCACAGTTCGATTTTGACATCGGTTTGTCTGGTGGTTCTTTCCGTCCGTTGCTACAGTTATCAGTCAATAATAGCAATGACTCGCAGAACAATTTAGCAGATCGTTTGTCATTCCTGAAACTGTATACATAGACGCTTGGTCCTCTTAGACAAACAAAACTTTTCTTCAAACTGTGACTGGATTATGTAGAGAAACCGAGCGAAGGGCGCTCCCCTGATAGCACAGTTGATTTTAACAGTTGACTGTAAATGACTGAGCTGGCTTATCTAAAACCAGGAAGCAACCGTGCATAAAGTCGATTATACTATCAGATGTTTATTTAGGATTGTCTAAGGTTTTTTTTTCCACCCCCAAATTTTGCCCACATCGTTTGCTTCCATTCCAGACCCATAAATAAAGTCATACAGGTTTGGAAGAGCATGAGGACGAGTAAAAGTTTACCTATAGCTATGTTTCCATCCACTTATTTTTATGCGCATTTTGGATTATCGCATAAAAAAAAACGCTGGATGGGAACGCCAAGATGCGCACAAACTTATGCGCACAACTGAGTAGGATAAACTTTTTATCCGATAAGAAAAAAATGTGCATAAACTAAGATGGAAACACACCGAATAAATTCCACCATGCGCATTGAACAAGTCATGTGACATTGCGCTATGAGACGGGATTGACTAGTAGCGCTCCGATCTCGTTCACAGCATCTATATGTTGTTTTGGTCGTTCTGAAATGCCTGAGCAAAGTCTGTCGTCAAAGTATTTCTGTATAATTACTGTCTCACACGACTGCGTTCCCAAACAGCAGCATCCACCTCTAAAAGCAATGACCGCATTACATCTGCTCTCTCTGAAGCGCAAGTAAATTATTACATATGAAAATTATTATATTCAGTGGCTTCTTCTAGTTTTCTTAGAGATATTTAGTGGCAGTTTATCAGGAAGTGACGATTTTGTTCTCTTTGACTCGTTGGATGGAAACGATGCTTTATTCGCATATGTTTTATGCAATATTCCAGTTTTGCGCATAAGTTAAATTCGCATCTTTGGATGGAAACATAGCTTATGAGCCTTCAATCTCTTGCAGGTCATGTGACCACCTGGTCACGGTCTTCAAAGAACACCGGGATCAGCAGCACATGGGTACGCCATGAGCAGAAGAAACCGTCTGAGGTGAGAAATATGGTTTCATAGGGCTGGGTTTGGACACAGATTTCACCATTCGATTCCATTATCCTTCACAAGCTTGCGATTCTATTCGATTCGGTTATTTTTGGAAATATATCAGGTACAGGACATGGCAAATTTTCTCAAGGAAAAAAATAATGCTGGTAAAATATACCTGAGAGTCAATAATATGGAAGGTTGAAATTTGCTGATTTAATACAACGTTAAGGAAAGTTATCCTTGTTGGTAAATGTGTCTCCTTCGCCTTGTGGTGGCTTGTGCTTCCAATGGGAATCGGATATATGTGTTTAGCTGTAGGTCAGATGTCTAGATATTAAATATGTGTCTGATTTAAAACCACGTTTGGACTGCACTTTTCACAAACCGCTGGATAAACTCACATAACACCCTATGTTTTTTCTTGGCAAGTCACCCACTTGAAAAAATTTTAACATTTTACAATTTAACTTTTAAAAGCAGTTGTTTGTAAGTTGGACTTCTTTGATGAGATCTTAATGTTTCATACTGTGTGTTCATACATATTTGAGTGTTTTTGCATTTTGGCACAAAAATTGCGTTCGAAGACATAGCAAACTCTTGCGTTCATGCCTCTGTGCCAGTGAAAATGTCACCAGGGCGAGAAGGGCTTTTTCATGTTGAATGTTGCCAATGTTCTGTTCTTTCAGGTGTTTCGGACCGATTTTATTACAGCCATGAAGTTGCCTGATTCGGCACAACTGAGCCCAGAGGAGTTTTATTTCCTCTCCGACCCCTGGAGGCAGGAATGGGAGAAGGGTGTTCAGGTGCCAGCCAATGTGGAACCGATTCCCGAGCCTGTAGTTCGGTGAGAGTCACAGGCTTGCTCTTGATTTATGTGTTACGTGTTTCCCAAATAGAAATGCATTGAGAAAAAATGCCTTTTTCCGATGTCAGAATGAATTTGCATGCAGTGTTGCACCATAATATGTCTCTGACGTGAGCAACTCTTGCTTGGACAGTAGGGGTGTAAGGGTTCAAGTTTCTCACGGTATGTATTGTGGTTTTGGGGTCACGGTTTCGATACGGTTCTGTATTCGGTGGGGGAGAGTGTGTTAATACCTTGATGTTTTGCGCATAAGTTAAATTCGCATCTTTGGATGGAAACATAGCTTATGAGCCTTCAATCTCTTGCAGGTCATGTGACCACCTGGTCACGGTCTTCAAAGAACACCGGGATCAGCAGCACATGGGTACGCCATGAGCAGAAGAAACCGTCTGAGGTGAGAAATATGGTTTCATAGGGCTGGGTTTGGACACAGATTTCACCATTCGATTCCATTATCCTTCACAAGCTTGCGATTCTATTCGATTCGGTTATTTTTGGAAATATATCAGGTACAGGACATGGCAAATTTTCTCAAGGAAAAAAATAATGCTGGTAAAATATACCTGAGAGTCAATAATATGGAAGGTTGAAATTTGCTGATTTAATACAACGTTAAGGAAAGTTATCCTTGTTGGTAAATGTGTCTCCTTCGCCTTGTGGTGGCTTGTGCTTCCAATGGGAATCGGATATATGTGTTTAGCTGTAGGTCAGATGTCTAGATATTAAATATGTGTCTGATTTAAAACCACGTTTGGACTGCACTTTTCACAAACCGCTGGATAAACTCACATAACACCCTATGTTTTTTCTTGGCAAGTCACCCACTTGAAAAAATTTTAACATTTTACAATTTAACTTTTAAAAGCAGTTGTTTGTAAGTTGGACTTCTTTGATGAGATCTTAATGTTTCATACTGTGTGTTCATACATATTTGAGTGTTTTTGCATTTTGGCACAAAAATTGCGTTCGAAGACATAGCAAACTCTTGCGTTCATGCCTCTGTGCCAGTGAAAATGTCACCAGGGCGAGAAGGGCTTTTTCATGTTGAATGTTGCCAATGTTCTGTTCTTTCAGGTGTTTCGGACCGATTTTATTACAGCCATGAAGTTGCCTGATTCGGCACAACTGAGCCCAGAGGAGTTTTATTTCCTCTCCGACCCCTGGAGGCAGGAATGGGAGAAGGGTGTTCAGGTGCCAGCCAATGTGGAACCGATTCCCGAGCCTGTAGTTCGGTGAGAGTCACAGGCTTGCTCTTGATTTATGTGTTACGTGTTTCCCAAATAGAAATGCATTGAGAAAAAATGCCTTTTTCCGATGTCAGAATGAATTTGCATGCAGTGTTGCACCATAATATGTCTCTGTGACGTGAGCAACTCTTGCTTGGACAGTAGGGGTGTAAGGGTTCAAGTTTCTCACGGTATGTATTGTGGTTTTGGGGTCACGGTTTCGATACGGTTCTGTATTCGGTGGGGGAGAGTGTGTTAATACCTTGATGTGGTATTAGAAATATTAGGAATACTTTACTATTTGTGACCCTGGACCACAAAACCTGTCATAAGGGTCGAAATTGAGATTTATACATCATCTGAAAGCTGAATAAATAATCTTTCCATTGATGTATGGTTTGTTAGGATAGGACAATATTTGGTCGAGATGCAACTATTTGAAAATCTGGAATCTGAGGGTGCAAAAAAATCTAAATATTGAGAAAATCATCTTTAAATTTGTCCAAATGAAGTTCTTAGCAATGCATATTACTAATCAAAAATTAAGTTTTGATATATTTAGGTTTAGGTAGGAAATTTACTAAATATCTTCATGGAACATGATCTTTACTTATATATCCTAATGATTTTTGGCATAAAAGAAAAATCAATAATTTTGGCCCATACAATGTATTGTTGGCTATTGCTCCAAATATACCCCAGCGACTTAATCTGCTTTTGTGCTCCAGGGTCACATTTGCTAACAAATACTTGAACCGATTGCCTTAACTTAAAAAAATGAATAAATTACTAAATAAACATTTGAACTAAAATAGCTAACTAGAATGAAACACCCCTATTGTACAAGAACAGCTGCTCAAGATACATATGCTCTCTTATATGTCTAAAGTTGAAGGAAAATTAAATTTCTCAGTGCACGATCCATATTAATGTGTTGTTATTGTTAAACTCGTTTAAACTCGCCACATTCACATCTGGATCTCTCAGTATTTCACTCAGCATCAAGGATCAATTATCAACATTATGTGACAAATCCTGTCCGTTGAGCTTCACTTGAAGCTGAAACATTCCTTTGAATATTGATGCATGAGTTTTGTGGTCATTCAAGCGTGCTATTTTTTCCCAGGATGCTTCCGGAGGTCAATCGAATCCCATTCTTTTCACCGATCCAAACCAGGGGCCAGTCAGAGTTTGGCTTCGGAGAGTCACATGGTCTCCCTGAGCCGTTGAGCTGTTACGATCTGGATGATCTGGATGTGACCTGGCTTGAACTGGTTAATACTGAATTCAGACAACTAGGTAAGATTTATCAACTATCTGAATCATGTTTCTCTTAAGGTTGTTATTGTAAACAGGCCAATAAAAGAGATATCATTGAGTAATCATTGAGATACTATTATAGTTTTTATTAATATTTAAAATAAGTTTTTATTTTTGCATTTTCTGTTTTTAGTTTAATTTTAGGTAAAGTGGTAACATATGGAATAAAAAATAAAAAAAGTAAGAGAAAAACTTTTTTTCTCGCAATTCTGAATTGCGAGATATAATTCGCAATTGCCAGAAATAAAATCAGAATTGTGAGATATACTTTTAATTTTTTCAACTTAGAAGGGCATGTGCTCCTTGAGAAATAAATAAGCGTAAAGCCCTGATTTAGTTGTAATTTGTATCATGTTTGAGCAGAAGTTCACAGGTTCAAGTCTGGGCTATGATATGTCACGATTTCATCCATCTTCTCTTGTTCATCTTTGCTGTGCCAAAGTAGGGCCCTATGAAATCCTTTTTAGTTTTTTTCCAATTTTTGTATTTTTATTTTTTCATTTTTTTCCATTTGAATTTTTCTGGATTCCATTTTTTTTTAAATTTTAATTTTTAATGGTTAATTAAAATTTAATGAATTAAAAAGCATGTCTAATTAATTGAAATCATAAAACTACAAGTTAACAGTACTTTATTAAAAGTTTAACAAAAATCACATTTTTATGGACCTATGAAATACATTTTATTTTCTCTCAAATTCTGTTAAAAAATTTTTTTAAACAAATTCTGTGTTTTCCATTTCAATTTTATTCTGCCATTTTAATGGTTTAAATTTGAATAAACCCCTTTTCTTTTCTCAGAATTTTTTTGTGTACTTTAATTTTTCTGGAAATCAAATGATGGCAAACAAAATTAAATTAAACAAAATGTAATTAAATTAAACAAACCCTTTAATTTTTTTGTCAAACAAAGTGCTGCACAGCAGAGGTTTACTGTTAAAATTGATTAAAACATGGAAGAAAATTAGTGTGATTATTCCTTAAAAATAAAGTTTTAATAATTTTAGTAGTAGTAGCATTTTAAAACACAGAAGAACATTTGTGTGATTATTCCATAAAAATAACGTTTTAATAATGATTTTATTAGGCGGGGGAATTGGTTCTAGAGGGGGGTTGTTTGCAGAACTTCGCGCACTGGATGAGAAGCGGCATTATAATGCATTATAATTGTACCAAATCCTTGTAGAAACAGTACTAATAGCATTAGTTAGATGCCAGATATATGATGTACTTTTTTAGCTATGACTCTGGATAATTGATTTTTTGAATGGAGATCACGGTTCTCCCACGATTCAGAAAACAATACATTAGACAACCAAACAAAATAATATGTAATCTAATTTACTTGAGGTTCCGACAAAATGTTTTATTTAATATTATAAATGAGTCTATTTATAAATCCTTATAAATTCAAATTAATTCATTATGTAAAGAATCATTTGAAATAAATGAATGAAGACTTTTTGAACAAATCTCTTGAATGAATGATTTCAGACATCAAATACATTTGAACAGTCAATGGAAAAATATATATAAATACACAAACATGCATGTATATATTTAAAAAATATTTACATGTATTTTTATATTCATATATAACTTGTATATAAATATTAATATTTTATATATAAACAAAACATTTTTCTTAAATGTATACATGTATGTGTGTGTATTTATATATACATAATTAATGTACACAGTACACGCACATATATTATGTAAACAAAAACTTTTATTTTGGATGCGATTAATCGTTTGACAGCGCTAATATTTTTGTCACAATTTCTTCAAGTTAAACTGAACTTTTATTTTGATGGGTTGCCGTGAAGAGTTTTATTTGTGTGTTTGTTTTCCACATCGCGGATATCATAGGGCCCTACTAATGTGGCAGAAACCCATAAACACAAGGCGGTTTCTTTTGCGTGTCGCAGCACTTCCAGAGCTGGACGAGCTCACCATGGAGCAGGTTGTTGTGGAGCTGGAGAACAGGTGTCAGCAGAACATGCAGCAGGCCATCGAGACCGAGGAGGGTCTGGGTATCGAATACGACGAGGACGTGGTTTGTGACGTGTGCCGCTCACCTGAGGGGGAGGATGGCAACGAAATGGTCTTCTGTGACAAGTGCAACGTTTGTGTGCATCAGGTATTTAATCCAAAAACAATCCAGATTATATTGAGGTCTGAGCGCTGTAATGAATCGCAGTTTACTCCAGTAAACAACGCACTGATTCAAATGATCCGGTCGGAGCGAGTCTCCAGTAAACAACTCACTGATTCAAATGATCCGGTTAGAGCGAGTCTCTCAGTAAACAACTCACTGATTCAAATGATCCGGTCGGAGCGAGTCTCCAGTAAACAACTCGCTGATTCAAATGATCCGGTCGGAGCGAGTCTCCAGTAAACAACGCGCTGATTCAAATGATCCGGTCGGAGCGAGTCTCTTTTTTTCTATATGAAATGTCTTAACTTCTATCTTAAGAACATTTTTGTGAGTCCGGTCCCTCGTTTTCAGCTTTTTGGGATGTGTTGTCTCTTAAGATTATGACATTCACTTGCTTCACATAATAAAATAAGCTTTTAATTTAAATTCCATTCATTGAAATTTAAACCCCAATGAAAGTATCAACAGAAACTGATCATTTTGATGACGTAACAGTGCTGATTTGTGGATTGGTTGTGTTGACGGAAAGCATGTTTTTGTTCCTCCTGCAGGCGTGTTACGGGATCTTGAAGGTGCCGCAGGGTAACTGGCTGTGCCGAATCTGTGCCCTCGGAGTGCAGCCCAAATGTCTGCTTTGTCCCAGGAGAGGAGGAGCTCTGAAACCCACGCGCAGTGGAACCAAGTGGGTCCACGTCAGCTGTGCCTTATGGATCCCCGAGGTATCGGCTGAAGTCAGTCTGGGAATAGCAGTTATAAGTAGTGTTCAGTTTAATAGTGCACCGAAATACCAGCTTTCGAAAAAATTTCGGTTTGTAGAGACAATGGCTGAAAATCCAGGATTCAAGTATGAGCAAAAACTGCAACATTTTGGCTCACTTCTTTACAGAGTTTAACATGAAAAGGCAGAGTGCATGTGAAATCATTCAGTTGTAATCATATATATAATATATCTGCTGATATATAGATAGATAGCTATCTGCTGCTGAGAATGGCGCCGTTGTATGTGGCACGCCGTCTGCTGCTTTCTTTCTCATTTTTAAATTTTATGATTTTATATTTATCCTTTCTAATCACTGACTGTAATATGCTGCTGGTTTATGACCGCCAATCACTGCTAAATATTCGCATGGCTATAGACTCCGCCAAGAGTGACATTGGTGCGCCTGACCGATTTCCCCTGCCTGGCCTTTCATATCTCCCTGCTCACCTTTGTTGGCATCCCGCCGGTTTTCCATGGAGGCGGCGGCGGCGTCGGAGGAAGCGCGGCAAGCGGGGTGGAGCTGCTGTTTGGCTGAGGTCTCTTGCACGGTCACTGTCTGTGTGTGTTGGTCCCATGCCGGCCTACGAACGCGCCCTTTGGTGTCCTGCGAGCGCATCTTATCGGTGGCTTCGACCTGTTGTTCCACGCTTTTCGTCTGTGCCATCACATCATCTCTCATGTATGTGTGTGTGTATGTGTATGTATATATGTGTATGTATATATGTGTATGTGTATATATATGTATATATGTATATATGTATGTATATATATGTGTATATGTATATATATATATATATGTGTGTATGTGTATATGTATATATATATGTATGTATATATGTATATTAGTGTTTTGTTTTTTTAGGATATATATATATATGATATGATATAACATTGCAATGTAAACGCTGGCTGTTAATAGCTTGCGTTTGAGACACATGCGCCTGCTCTAATGTGTGATGAGGCACACGTTTAAAAGGACAGTGTGCATGTTTGTGCTGTCGACTATGGACAGCATGATTACAGACTCGCTTGCATTTGCTTTTCCTAATTTTCCTAATATTTTTCCGAATCAGAATCTAATTGTATTACATAACTCAAATAGCTCAAAATGTAGCTCATATCTTACTAACGAGGAGCATTTTGTGTTTTTGAACAGATCGCACACATGCACCTGTCATTATACAGACACTGAAAGACATCACACATACTGTATATAATCAGACATATTACGAGCTCGTTGCATCTCTAGATGTGTTTTAGGCAAATTCAGGCACGTGGTCACTCATTATAAATAGGGCTGGGCGATATGGCCAAAAAAAAAATCATATCTCAGTTTTTTTTTTTTTGCTGAATTGCGATATACAGTAGTATCTCTGTATTTTCTGCGTTTTTCCATTTTGGATTATAAATATATATCAGGGCTCGCAAAATTTCAAAATCCCTGGTAGCCCTTCGGGCAGGTACTCTTCAGATTTTGGTAGCCTGAAAATTAATTTAACTAGCCCAAAAAAAAAAATACCTTTTTTTTTTTTATTAACTAGGCAAACAGAGGTATAGACCAATATGGGAACAAGTGGAAACGGGTACAATTTATGGAATAAGAGAAAAAATGTATTGTTGTGCCTTTGGATGTCAGAATCAGAATGCAAATTATTTTTATATAATACTGTCGTCAAAGACGCCATTTGAAGCTAAACGCAGATGTTTAAACTGACAAACTAAAGCAAATTTAAACAATAGGTCTACATAATATTCACATATGCAGTTCATAGGGAACATATTGTGTTAGCCCTACAGTTACGGTATGAAATGGACTACTATTTAAAGCTATAACATTTACCTATTTTATCTCACAATTCTGACTTTTTTCTTGCAAATGCAAGTTTATATCTCCTAGTTCTGACTTTTTTTTTTTATAAGAAAAAAAGCTAAAAGTGTGGGATATAAACTCATGATTCTGAGCCGAGGGGAAAAGAGAGAGAATGACGCGTTGATTTTTCTTATCAGAATCGTATGATATAACCTCGGAATTGTGAGAAAAAAGTCAGAATTTGGAAATATAAACTCAAAATTACTTTTTTAAAATTCTTTTATGCCATGGCTTCCGTAGACTGCTACTTTAAAACTGTCATTTTCTGCCACCAGATAGACTCCGCCCACAAAAAAAAGTCATCACTGTTTGCAAACACCAAATTGGTCTATATATCCACCTTTTCCCTGAGGAACCTAGATTCTAACTTCCATTAGGATGCTCTCGTGTTCAGGTCTCCTCCATGTTAAAATGGGGTAAAAAGATCGACTGATGCAATTAAACTGAAACTTTTTTAGTATAACTAAATATAAAAATGTGTTATTACTGTTGTTGGCTGCCACAGTAACAGCAATAAGCTCAAGGAATTCCTGTAAAGTGCTTGTTTTGCGCACCAGCAAATCTGTCATGTCCGGCGCTGTATGCCTTCCGTAAACGATGACAAGAGAAACGAGCATGGCTTGCGCCGCCTAAGTTAAAATACTGTGTGTGAAATAATAAAATAATGTGTGCTCTTATCATTTTGTGGACAAAATCCCCCAAAAAGACGGCCATGGCGACACTGTAAAGTGGTGAAACTATGACGTTGTGTGCGTTTTAAAAGCATTTTCATAGCTTTAACGTTATATTATCAGCTCTGAAAATGTTAATTTGACTAGAAACACTCGAGACCGGAAATGTAAAGCATACACAGGATAAGAAGGTAAACAAGGAGGGCGGAGCTAATGCTAAACTATGGCAACAAACGAGGGGTAACCACGGAAACAAACATTGTAACAAATGCAACGAGGGAAACGGGAACTAAACACAGGAAGGAAACATAGAAACAAAAGGTTACAGAAAACACTAAAAGTCCTATAAACAAGATAGCAGAACGCAAGACTGGGATCGTGACAATATTAAAGGCAGTGAAATCGAATATAGTGAAAGTAACCATGTAGGCTATGCTATGCAGAATGTTCTGCGGTAACACATTTATTTCCTGTAGATATAATATACTCCAGCATGTTTTTTCAGAAGAAATGCAAGCTGATATACGCTCTCCGTGCCGCAGTGCATGTATCCAAATAATCCAAATCAAATTCATTGGTTATTATTTCAATTATCGATTTTGATTATTTGTTCAGACGTAGTTGAGTTGAAATGAACTTTTGAATGAGTTTTAATGATTGCCTGATTAAAAAATGCAATAAAGCAGTAAAAGCGCAAAGGAAATCCGGCCCCAAACGCTACAGAACTCGTTCACACTTATTCATCAGCAAGACGCTTTGCTTTTGACAGAGGAAACTTGTAATTAGCATGCAATAATGGATGAATTCTAATTGAAATATTTCCTCAGCGCTCTTTATGTCTCGTCGCGTGATTAAAAGGAAAGCTTTTCAGCCGGAAATTTGAACTTGTTCGGTCAGGTGGAGGGCAAGATGTGTTTGTAAAGGAGCGCCCTGTGTCACGTGCAGAAGGCTGCTGAATGTTTCAGTCAAAGGAGGACAAAAGCAGAAGTGACGGGAAGAGAAGGATTCAAAGAGGGAATTTTGAAAAGCCTGGTCAAAATGGGTATTTCAATAACGCTTACAGAAGCTGAAGAGTGAGGCGGTAACAATGGCAGAATGACAGGGATGTAGAGAGCCACAAAAGCGAGTGAAAAGGCTCACAGAAATCTGATGAATAAACTGAGCCGAGCACACGAGCTGCTGCTGAGCGACGTCTTCCAGACGCTGTGAATTCAGTGCTACACCACCCCCGTTCCCTTCGATTTCATCTACAACACTTTAGGGCGAAATACTGTACCGTATGAGGTTTGCGTCACAATGCCAAACAACTCCTTGACAAGCTTCGTGAGACTCGCCATGCAGCTCAGATTTGAAAGTGGCGCTCATTGTGCATCTTGCATCTTCAGATTAAACCAGTGAAATCACAAAATACAATGGAACCCGATGCAACTACATTTATTCAGTAATAATTTACATTTATTCTTACACTGTAAAAAAAAAAAAGGTGCAGTAAGACTTCTGAGTCGTCTCAACAATAGTTTTTTAGTTCTTTTCAGGAAAGATACTTTGTTTAGCCAACATACATTTATTTGTTCATGCAATGCTGATTGAAAAATGTTTGTCACAGCAACTGAAGCAACAATTACTGTTGTTGAGGTAATTAATTTTTTTCTGTTTCCTAAATGAAAAAAAACAAATGTGTAAAAAGTCACCACGTTATCATTTTAATGTTTATTTACAAATGACAAACTGGGAAATGTTGGATAGCTTGGTCTGAGTGTTGAGCTCTTTACATCACAGCACAACAAATAACTAACAATAATGACAAAACTAGGGTTGCAAAGGGGTGGAAAATTTCCGGTAAATTTCCGTAAACTTTCCAAAAATCCCTGGAATATTGCAAAAAAAAAACTTTCTGGAGTATTTCCGAAATTTACTGGAAAATTTCCACCTTTTTGCAACCCTAGACAAAACCAAACAAAAAAAAGTTTAAATGAAGTCAGCAAACAGCAAAACAATAATCCTATAACAGTAACTGCATAATTTATTTATGCTGCCTGCAGTGCATGCTGGGAACTCTCACAAAGCCTTAACATTTCAGAAATATGAAATTCTTTGTTCAGACAACTGTGTTTGATTAGCTGGGACAACATTTGGGGTAATTCAAATGGTTTTTATGAAGTTTCAAGAAAATACTCAAAAGGTTTCGTAAATTGGAAAATATGCAGTAGCATTTTTTTTTACAGTGTAGGGTAGCACTCTATTTTAAGGACCAATTCTCGCTATTAATTAGTTGCTTATTATCATGCATATTACTAACATATTAGCTGTTTATTAGTACTTATAAAGCTCATATTAATATCTTATTCTGCATGAGCATATTCTAGATCACTTAATCCACACCATACCTAAACTAACAACTACCTTACTAACCTTTAATAAGCAGCATATTAGGAGTTTACGGAGGCAAAAGTCATAGTTAATAGTTAGTTAATGGTGATAATTGCTCCCCAAACTAAAGTGTGACCATTCTGGGTATTATTAATGATAATATACTAATTCAGTATGTTAAGTAATTATACTTATATAATTTTTTTTAGAATAATTGCTACAATATTACCTCACCATTCAGTGTGTAAATCATACCCCTAGACTAACTAAACAGTTTATTTTGTACTTTTATTTAGTTTATTTAGTTGTACTTTTATTTGGTAACAAAAAACACGCACCAGTGACTCCAACAACTCTTTTCTGCTGAATTAGCATATTTCTAAAATCTGTTTTGTACCTTTAACATATTGATTTATATTTTTATTATTGTAAATTATAAGATGACTTTGCAATAAAATTGCATTAAATATCAGATTACAGTTTTTCACCTTAAATAGCAAGGGAACGTACTGTTAACTAATTAAAGCATTTTTACAGTCATTATATACATACAACGTAAAAAATGATTATGTACAATGTATTTATTTAAACATTCGTTATAACTGAAATATTTTTACCTGAAATTAGGAATCGAATCAAATTGAATTGAATTTAGAGCTTGCGTGTCACGAAACTCTTCTTAAGAAAATTTAAAAGATAAATACCAAGAAGTTCATAACAATGCTCCTAAGTGCAATTTGTGCAGAAGTTCTCAACTATGTTCTTATGAACATCTTATTTTTTGAAAGTCTTCTGCGTTATCTGACTGAATGGCGGTTCTTGCTGAAGACTTGTTTTAAATGATCATCTAACCTAAATGTTTCATCACTCAGTGTATTTGTGTTTCACAGTTTATAATTATGTGTTGACTCATATTTACATCATTAGGAATATACTTAATTATACTTAACAATTTTTTTTGCACAATAGCTTACACACAGCGCAACGAACTTTGATTTCAAACTCTGAATTTAATTTATTTTAACTAAAAAAACTAAAGTAAACAGTCAGTAATAAAAAAATAACAAATTAATGACAAGCAATAGCACAAACAAATACTATAGCAAGATACAAATGAAATTAACTGCTTTGCTGTAATATTCAGGTACAGAAGTACTACAGAAATTGGATAATCTATTCAACTGTAAAATAACACTGGATAGTCTTCACTGTAAAAATAAATATTTATGACACCGAAGCAGCAGGTTTATTTAGGCTGCTGTCTCTTTAAGCTCTCACGCACAGATCTAATGAACTGTTACACGTGCGTTTTGCTTCTCAACTGTTTACATTCACTTAAAATAGCCTTTATACCGACTGTGTTTAATATAAACCGACTGTGATTACGTGAATTTGTGTTGATGGGCATTTTGACATAATTTTGTATGTATTTGGCCGTTTATGCGCAATAAGGCGCGAAACATAACTCAATTTGGGCACACTTTATTTTAAGGTCCAGTTCTCGCTATTAACAAACCATTAACTATGACTTTTCCCTCAATAAACTCCTAATTTGCTGCTTATTAATAGTTAGTAAGGTAGTTGTTAAGTTTAGGTATTGGGTCGGATTAGGGATGTAGAATATGGTCATGCAGAATATGTGCTTTATAAGTACTAATAAACAGCCATTATGTTACTAATAGGCATGATAATTGGGAGAAGTGAGAATTGGTCCCTAAACTAAAGTGTTACCACTTTCTGTAGTCTGAATATCCCACATTATAAGCATGGAACCTGCGGGAGTGAGTAGAATTTGAAGTTTGAAGATCTTTTGCACTTCGTGCAGATTACCTAAATAATCATATTAAGTGTGCACATTATTTAATTGTGACCAGCTTGACGGCTGTTCAGCACTCAGCATTGCATTTTTAATGCGCTGTGTTTTTTTGAATGGGTACTTTTAATGAGACTGTCTCAAGATGGAGTGATCCACTGCATTCATTCGTGGGTAGTAGAAAATAAGAAGAAAATATCAGTTAAGAAAAATGTATTCTTAAGAATTTTTTGTCATTATGCCCTCAGAACCAGATCAGGAAATTTAGCTTTACTCACTTGTTGACTCACCTGCAGCCATCCCTAATCCGATCACTTATAGTACTTTTCGATGTGTTAACTGGGTGTTTTCTGACTTGTGTTGTTTCCATGTCATCAAAGGTGAGCATTGGCTGCCCTGAGAAGATGGAACCTATTACTAAAGTATCCCACATCCCAGCCAGTCGCTGGGCCTTGTCCTGTGGCCTGTGCCGTGAACACACAGGCACATGTATACAGGTGAGAGACATGCTGCTTTTGAACACTCGACTCATTTAAAGAGCAGAATAGTTTAATGCTTTTAGTAAGAAAGGATGGGCTACTTCATAAAGTCTAATCAAAATCAATTTTTTACAATATGCATTATTTCAAGGCAGCTTTACAGAAAATCATAATATTAATGTTTACAGCATCTTCACAACCCTCTACAATGCGAGTAGCGACTAAATCTTCACTCTGGGCGACTTGATGTCTATCGTTAGCCTTTGGCTAATAAATTCTTAGATTTTGCTCGCCAGTGTCTGAGTTGGAGGCTAAGTGTAAGTTTAGCACAGATATATTTTCACTCTGACTGAGCGCTTCAGAGTTTCTCTGTGTGATGTTTTTCAGTTAATCTCAATGGATGCGCAGCACACCTGTATTTGACGCACCGTAAACTCTAGTGTGAAGGAGCACGACTCGCCGGCGCTTTGCTGAGAGTGCTGTGTTTCTCACACCAAAGAAAGAGAGCGAGATAGTCTTATATACCATGCAGAATTAACACGTTACATGTAAAAGATATTCTTCGTTGCATTTTCCTGTCAAAATGCTTGATTATCATATATTATAACGCTTGACTGACTGATGTTAAGAGTGTACTTTCAGATATTTAAAAAGCTGTGCCATTTTACAAACATAAGCTTATATATATATATATATATATATATATATATATTTACTTGGGTAAATATTTAGAGGGTTGCTTAATGCTTTTTAGTTACATATAGCAGATTAGAGCTGTGCTATAATATAGTTTACATTAAAAATAGAGATCCAAGCAATCAAGTAGTTGCGATAAGTTGTGTGGTACACATCATGAGTATACTTGTACGTATGTGGGTATAGTTACACATACTTGCATATCCAAGATTATATAAAGAGCTAGTAAAGAAATAAAGAATGCAGAAATGCAAATACTGGCTAATTCATCTTATTTGTCCTCATGTTGTTCCAGACTAGTATTTATTCATTTATTTTTGGAACACAATATAATAAATTGTGAAGATTTTGAGGAACGCTCCTTTCCATGCTGTTACAATGAATGGCAACTGATGCTTTCAAGCTTGAAAAAGGGCACAAGAGCACCATAAAAGTGTCATAGAAGCAGTCTATACAAAGAGACGTAATGGCTTTTATTATTGACTGAAAATCAGCAAAAGATTTAGTTAGTGAGCTGAACTAGAGATTCATGAGCAAATAATTTCAGACTGGATTTATGAACAGGATCTACTTTTATCTGATCACGAATTCATGGATGATGTTACATTGGAGAGCTAGGGTGGATGTCACAATTTTCTCGTGAATAATGAAAAATTGGTTGTGTCTTGATAAGTCTTAGGGAAGAGTATTGCCGTATAGCAAGTTGTGCTATTATGATATTTGTATGGAGCTTTTGCGTCCTTTTTGATGCTCAAAAGCTTCAATCCCTGTTTGTTGTTACTGTGTGGAAAAGAGCTAACAATGCAATTCCTCAATTTTTCAGTTTGTGTATCATTTTGGAAGGACATGAGGGTGAGTAAGTTATGACCAGAGCTGGGTAGATTACTTACAAATTGTAGTCCGTTACTGATTCCAAATTACATGACAAAAATTGTAGTTAATAACGTAATCTGTTACTCTACACATTTTAGGTAATCCAGTCAGACTACTTTTAGATTACTTTTGACAGAACTCATTTATCACTTTGATTTAAATAAGATAATCTTGTACCATATTGGTATAAAAATAAAGTGACGTGACATGTGGCCAAGTATGGTTACCCATACTCGGAATTAGTGCTCTGCATTTAACCCATCCTAAGTGCACACACACAGCAGTGAACACACACACACCGTGAACACACACCCGGAGCAGTGGGCAGCCATTTATGCTGCGGCGCCCGGGGAGCAGTTGGGGATTCGGTGCCTTGCTCAAGGGCACCTCAGTCGTGGTATTGAAGGTGGAAGAGAGAGCGCTGTACATTCACTCCCCCCACCTACAATCCCTGCCGGTACGAGACTCGAACAAAGAGAAAGAAAATATATTCCATTCGTCGTTATTAAAAACATGAAGTGCATTAAACAATACATTACGTCAAGGTTTCCCAAACTGGGGTTCATGAAGGAATTGCAGGGAGGGGGTTTGTGAATTTAATGAAATGCTAATATTTAATTGCATCGTAAAAATGTAGAATTAAATCATTTAAAAATAATTCTGTTTACACATGTTTAACCAATACATGGTTAAGTAACCCACTGATTGATAATTCAAATAAAAATTCATGTTTATCACTAGTTGATGTTTAAAAAGTCGAGAAAACACTTTTTAAAACTAGAATGATTTTTGTAAATCCGGTGGTCAAATGCTGTGACTAGTGACTGGTCTTTGTGTGAATGTCCACAAAACTGGAAGACTGGAAGGCTATTTTAGAAAAGGAAAATATAAAAGATGATAAAGAAGAATTAGGGAGAGTCAATAAATTATGCAAAATGTATTGCTATTGTGTGAATAATATGCAATAATGTAACCAATACAAAAGTAACCCTAGTCTGATTACAATTATTTTAAAATGTAATATAATCTAACTACAAGTACTTAATTTCTGGAATCCAGATTACATGTAATCAGTTACTGCCCAGCACAGAATGTGAGCCATTCTATTGCTCTAAACATGTTGTTCTGCTCACACAGTGCTCCATGCCATCCTGCGTCGTGGCCTTCCATGTGACCTGTGCGTTCGACCACGGACTAGAGATGCGCACCACTCTGGCAGAGAACGACGAGGTGCGTTTCAAATCATACTGTCTAGAGCACAGTAGCATCTCACGCTCGAGCAGCGGCGGGAATGCGGACAGGCCCGAACTGCGGCTCGCTGGTTCCGATCTGTCAGTGACTCATTCGGATCGTTCGAAGCAGGAACAAGCAGAACGTGAGAAAGCCAGCCAACGCAAGCAGAAGCTGCAAGAGCTTGAAGATGAGTTTTACAGATTAGTGGACCCCAAGGATGTTGCAGAAAGCCTTTCCCTGCCCGATGTTCATGTGGACTTCCTCTTCCAGTACTGGAAACTGCGACGAAAGGCCAACTTCAACCAGCCGCTGGTGGCCCGCAAGAGGGACGAGGTGGACAATCTCGCCCAGCAGGAGCAGGATGTTTTGTATCGCCGTCTGAAGCTCTTCACTCACTTGCGTCAGGATCTCGAGAGGGTGAGTATAGCAGCCCTTTTCTCACACGTTCTCATCTGACAAGCTGATTGTTTCAAACGGGTTTCCTGAACGTTATTTAGGCAAACCGGTATTCCTGCCAGAGCCACAGAGCGAGTCTTAAATAATGTTGACAAAATTCTGACATCACTTGCACTGTGTCTTAACCAGACTTGCTGTGATGCCACGATAAAAGGTATCATTTCCATATTGAGGTGTGGTCAGATTTACCAATATTCAGTGAATTTTCAAGGGCAAAATCCAATCTTTTCAAAAGGAAACCATGCGATCCATGCAGATTTCGTAATGGGTTCAAGTTGGTCACACAAGTTCGCCGTGCTGACAAACAAAAAGCTACTTGTTTTAAAAGTTACTTTTGTTTGAGCATTATACATTACTACACTATTGACCATAGACAATGGACCACGAAATTATGCAAAGAGTTTTTGTTCTAACTTGCCACGATGTAGATAAGTGACAACCGACAGGGGACTCTACTTTTGAAACAATTTCTATTGATGCGACGTCACAAAAATTGGGTGTCCAGTGACCGTGATGGTCTCAGCTATTGATTATGTGCTTTGTAATGTCATAAAGGTTTAAGTTTAGTTTAAATATTGTTGCGCATGACTTTAATAGCCATAATGAAAAACGAGACAGTGGATAATTTATCTCAGATCTTGAAAATAAATGAAAGGAAATCATTCAAACTGTGAACAAACAAATGTATATGCATATTTGATTGTGGACGGAAATTTGCGTTTGACACTGATACAGTCCTAACTCCTTTAAGTGTGATCTTTCGCTGTTACATGCAATCAGGTCATGGATAAGGAAAATTACTTCATTGTAAAGTAAAAAGAAAAGTAGCTGTGATGAACTTTGTTACTATTTAGTGTTTTTCTATCTATCCATCCATCCAATCATTCTGTCAATCCCTCCATCCATCCATCCATTCCGTTCCACCATCCCATCCAACCATCCATCCATATATTCCATCCATTTTATTCAACTATTCTGTCCGTCCATCCATCCTTTCATCTATCATTCATCCATCCATCCATCCAACCATTACATCCATCCATTTCATCCAACCGTTCATCCATCCAACTATTTTGTCTGTCCATCCAGTCCATCCATCCATATTCCATCCATTCTATCCAACAGTTCTGTTCATCAATTGTTTTCAACCATCCCATCGGACCATTCTGTCCGTCCATCCATCCATCCATCCAACCATTCCATCCATCCATCCATCATCCATCCAGTTATTCATTCATCCATCCATCCATCCATCCAACCATTCCATCCATCCATTTCAGTCATTCTGTCTGTCCCTCCATCCATCCATCCATCCATTCCTTTCAACCATTTCATTCAACCATATATTCCATCCATTCTATCCAACCATTCATCCATTATTTTCAACTATCCCATCCGACCATTCTGTCCGTCTATCCATCCAACCATTCCATCCATCCATTTCATCCCAACATTCATCCATCCAACTATTCTGTCTGTCCATCCATCCAATCATTCAGTCCATCCAATCATCCATTCCATCCAACTCTTTTTCCATCCTCTGAGAACCTGACAACAGGTTGCCGCACTGGAGACTAAATGGTTAGATGTGTAGCTAGGTTGGTTGCTAAGCACTGTAAATAGGAAGGCAATTGCATTCTGTCATACCGTATAAAGGCGTCTGTGGGTGTAGTTGCTCTCACTCATGTGCATGTGATCTAAGATTTATAAAGCGTGATGCATGACAAATTATAAATTATTTGTAGAAACATGTAGGAAATGATGATTGTATTTGGGGTTATTGTAGGCAAGTCATTGTATATGAGGCCCCTGGTATGTAGATTGAGAAAGTAATTAGTCAATTTTGATTTCAGGTCGACTTTAATCTGGTACTAAAATGCGTTGTATGTAATGTTACATACACAGTCAAATACATAATAGTTGAATAATTTTCTCTTATGAATGGGCATAATTCTGTGTATTATATTGAATCAAGATCAATGAATATATTCCACAGTAACAAACTTTATTAAACAAACAAACTCCAAGTCATATGGAACGGTTGGTATGATTTTACAGCATAGCCCTACACAGAAACATGCTAACACTTAACCATAGCGATTTCAGTTCGTAATTTAAATGTAAATGGTGTGTTTTCTTTCAGGTCAGAAACTTGTGCTACATGGTCACACGCAGAGAGAAGATCAAACACTCTTTATGCAACCTGCAGGAGAAGATCTTTACCTTGCAGATTCAGCTCTTAGAGAAGGACCTAGTTGGAGGTATGAAAACTCTCTGCAACAGTCTCTTGTGTTTTTCTTTTGCCATTTTGATCAGTGCCAGTTTTTACTCATGGCACAAGAGCGAAGCTGGCAATGCACGACCAAAATAAAAAATGTGCTGGGTAAATAAGTTCAGACCACTCATTTGCGTACAAACATGGTTGACAGCTGTTAATGTACAATCACCATTTTAGATCGAGTATCTGTAATACTGCATAAGATTTCCATTCCAACTGAAAGCATAAATCTAGGCTACACACTGGCAGTTTCAGAGCAAACACAAAACTGTGACACTTCATTCACTGATGCGCTTCCAACAGTGCATATACTTACTTGCTGGCAACCCACCAAAATAAAAGCTTGATGACTTTAGCTTTGAAAATGATGAAAATTCATATAAAAATGGGAAAAAAATTTAAATGTTAGCATTGTATTTTTAAGTGTACTATTAAATAATTGTATTTTTATTTAAATAAACTTTTATTTTCAAATATAGTAGTATTATCACACTTTTTTATTTTTTTATTTTTAAAATAAACTAAATAAAGTGCAATAATACTATTATTACTGTTAATTAATTAATTGTTTTATTTTTTATAGTTATATTTAAAGGGTCACATTGAGCAGTGTAAGCACCAAACCAAATCTCCAGGTGCTCTCATGAGAACCAGACCGAAAAACTTATGTGCACCCCTGACAATATATTGTGAAATGGTTCCGGTGGTGATACTGGTTGGAAAGATCTTTCAGCCAATCAGATTTGAGGACCGGAACAAACTGTTATATATGCATTTTTTATTGTTATCAGGACCTCCTTAGCATTGTATTTTTAAGTGTACTATTAAATAATTGTATTTTTATTTATATGTATTATTATTTGTATTTTTTCACTCACTTTTTATTTTCAAATATAATAGTATTATTGCACTTTATTCTTTTGTTTATTTTATTAAAACAACTAACTAAAGTGCAACAATATTATTATTACTATTACTAATTTATTTTTTATAGTTCTATTTAATGGGTCACACTTTGTACAGTGTGAGCACCAAACCAAACTTCCAGGTGCTCTCATGAGAACAAGACTGAAGAACGTTTGTGCATCCCTGTCTATACTCAATGCTTGCAGAGCAGCTTGCGTTCTTTCCTTTAGTAGAAGTAAAGGCAGATGAGGATGGAGAATCCAAGAAATGAGAAGCACCCTCCTCATAATGGTGACACTAATTATACGTTGAGTTGTAGTTGACAGCATGATCACCTGACCTGGGATTTGATGCTATCCTGTGCTTTATGTCCTGCTCCCCGATTACTGCTTTATCAGGTAATCATTCATTTTCCTCAATCAGTATTAAATGTGATGAATGTAACCGATCTCTATTCCGTTTAGCCTGTTCCTGTTTAAACACCATCACAAAAACTACACCTTGTGTTTATGAGAAATTGACAGACAAGGCTATTTTGTGATATTTAAGGAGATTAAGCCTACATAAGGTGAATCTGCAGCTTATTATTTTATTTATAGACTAATGTTCACATCCTGTGAGTAATGGTCATAACTCAAGAGATGGCCACCTTCATGCAGAGGTTAGAGTTTACATATCCAACACACCTGCCTGGAAGTTTTCAGTGATCCTAAAGACCTTAATTAGCTGTTTCAGGTGTGTTTAATTAGGGCTGGAGATAAACTCACCCCTGCCATTGTGATTCTATTATGTTAATTGTAGAGACTGTATTGATATTGAAGTGTTCATAGATTTGAGATAAATAGATTAAATATAATTTAGTGATACTATAATCATAGTATGTTTTTGTGTTGAGCAGTTTAAAAAGTTAATCATATTGTTTAAAGTATTAACATTCCTGAATGTGACTGTATTTTTGACAAATGAATTGACTTGCTCTTAGGTGACATCGTGCTTTCTTTTTCAGATTTCAACCCAAAGGAAAAGAGGCAGCAGTCTGATGTAAGCCAGCTTTTTAAAACTTCAACCATTGGACCACTTGTAGTCTGACTCCTCAAAATAATTATCTTAAAGGTTGTAGTCCTTTTGTCCTTTTTGTCCCACTTTTATTTTTAAAGATTGATCTTTTTGTCATTGATTGTGTTAAACTGTTTAAAAATAAATAAAGTGACTAAATGGCTGGAAAGGTGTCATTTTGATTTTAAAAGGGTTTCCCCAAACTTTGAAATGGTCAGAAATGTATGCACCAGCTTAATGTCGTTGGTAACAATGTTAACATGGTACATCAGATGGCAACATTGTTTTATGTTGAGATTTCAGTAATAGTTTCAATAAAAAAAAAATAAACAAAAGTGGTTTAGAATCAACATCATATTATAATATTGATCCAAAAATATTACCAATGATTTATTTTTTTTGGTTAATTTCAATATTGATTCAACCAGTGGTGAATGAAGTACACAAATCAAGTACTTGAGTAAAAATACAGATAACCCTAATAAAATATTACTCCAGTAAAAGTATTACTCCAGTAAAGTACTCCTTTACGATTTTACTCTAGTAAAAGTACAAAATTGATTTTTAATGTACTTAAGTATTGGAAGTACTGATCGATGAATGTTTATTTTGTAATTTTATATACTTTTTAATAAATTTTCTATTATATATTTTATATAATCCTACTGCTCAATATACCTGGCCTACCTATTAAATATATTAAAATATCAGGTTACTGATACTTCATGTGTGCAAACAACAATTCACTGTATAATATTGAACCGTTCGGTACGACATCCATGGTTCAGTACACAAATTGCGGGGTTTTTTTCTTTTGGTTTTGTTTAAATCATTTCCTTGCGTTTTATTTCTCTCATGTTTTGTGCCTCTGTTTGTGTGTACCATGAGTCTACGCACTGATATGAGCAAATGCCTCCCTACTTACAACGTGCATCTCAGGGAACCGAAGTTTTGATAGTAACCGGAGCATTCCCTTTCGAACCGTCTCTCCTTTTGCGTTGTACGCTTATGGGGAACACATCCAATAGCGCCATGCTATAAGCAAGTGCAGAACGAAGCCGCTCTGCAAGCCCAGCCCGGAGCGCCCATAGTGAGGGCTCCTAAAAAGCATGAGTCAAATATGAGATCCAAGCCAACATGCTGGGGTCTACATATCAAGACCTTCTTCACTAATCTAGGGGATTAGGTAAATTAAGCAGACAATATACCTGGCCTACCTATTAAATATATTAAAATATCAGGTTACTGATACTTCATGTGTGCAAACAATTGAAAAAAAATGTTTGATATATATATATAAATGTGTGAATGTGTGTGTATGACGAAGCCGCTCTGCAAGCCCAGCCCGGAGCGCCCATAGTGAGGGCTCCTAAAAAGCATGAGTCAAATATGAGATCCAAGCCAACATGCTGGGGTCTACATATCAAGACCTTCTTCACTAATCTAGGGGATTAGGTAAATTAAGCAGACAAAATCCATGCCTGAAGGGCAAGTACGTCTAGGTTATAAAATCTGGTAGATGGCGAAGACCAGCCAGCTGCCACACATATATCACCAATTGAAACTCTGCTGGACCAAGCCCAGGAGGAGGCCATTCCTTTGGTGGAGTGGGCCCTCACTCCGATAAGACACTGCAGGCCCTCTGAGGCATAAGCCAGGGCTATAGCGTCAACTATCCAGTGAGACAGTCTCTGACTAGCAGCCCTTTAAAGGTGGCCTCCAAAGCATACAAAGAGCTGCTCTAGTGCCGGAACCGGGCAGAGTGGATTGGGACCCTGCTCATCCTCTGAATTTGGAAGATAATTTTTAGAAGGGTAATGACTTGTGCTCTGAACAGAGTGGAGAGCACTTTAGGCACATAGTCGTGTCTTGGTTTGAGGACGACTCTACAGTCATTAGGCCCAAACTCAAGGCATGAAGCACTGACTGACAGTGCTTGCTGCCATATACCTTTTTTTCAGTGCCATCAACGAAGGTAAGGGCAGCAGAATTAGGAGAGTCGACGTGTGCAGAGTAGGGGGAGTGCCACGCCATGGTAAGTTTATCGTGAACTTCTGGAAAAAACAGGGCCGGTCTCTGGTGGGAGGTTCGTTGACAACGGCCCAGTGGGTATCGTTCTTCTAAGCGGCTGCGGGCAGGCTCTTCCGGAGCCGACATTTCTAAGCCGAGATCTGATCCACCTAATAAAATCTGATTGTTCGTTGCAGATGGGGAGTTGGGTTGGGGGGGCTTGATCTTCATGTGTAAAACACGCAAGCGGATTGAAGTGCTGCGGGGAGAGTGAAGCACGCGGGACCTGTGCTGGCGTGACATCACTCAAGCCCAGTTGCTTAGCCCCGTGACTCCAGCATCTTCCCGCTGCCGGGGCTCTTCCCCAGCGAGTAGCAGGCTTAGAGCTTCTTGCTTCAAAGTCTAGCAAGGAGATGATCTTCGCTCTGAAGGAGAAAAATTCTGATGAATGGCGCTCTGAGCAGACTTATATAGCAGTCTGCTCCACCCCGTTTGGCGGCTGAAGTGCCATTTGTTCGTGCAACTACACGAACGTGAACAAATCAGGCTTCAATATCAGAGTAAACAGAAGTTCCTCATAGGCGTGCAATGCAATGGGAGAGACCGTTCGAAAGGGAACATGTTTTTTCATCAGTCGAATGTTTGAAATAAGTTCCTATTTTGATCTGATATGGCTTCTTATCACAGAATGAGGCAGAAAATATATTCTAACTTTAAAAAGTCTATTAGCAATGGATTATTAATATGAAAATACCCGAGATGGCTTGAAGAACCCAGATAAACTATATATTGTCGTAGATTTGTATTTATTGTCTTCATGTTTCCTCATTCAAAACGTTTCTACTTTTAATTCAGCTACAGCTGTCGCTGGATACCTTTATCCTAGAGCGTCATGAGTTCTATTACTTCTGTGATGCATATGTGGAGTTTCTGCGCAAGGGTGCCCTCTGGCTTCCAGTATGAATGAAACAGACATTACATGTGTTTATAGCGCTAAATAATGACCACTCC